GAATGCTGCTCCGTTCACTGCTTTTATTGTCATTAATTATTCTATTTTAAACCGATAAATATAAGAGAAATAAATGGCGATCGATGCGGACATAAAATTTATATATCGGCACCTGTACAGCGGGGCCACCACATAAAAGCGGAGGAATAATTACAGCTACTTTTGAGCTTCGACTGTTTTTCAGCGAACTAAACTGAGATATACGTGAAGGCGAAAAGCGGTAAGTAATTGATTTACTACCGAAACAGGGCCCGGTTAATCGGTGTGAATAATTCTTACTTCGAAAGAAGTACCTACATAAAACGTGCTAGAGGTTACTGTGGCTGTTTCGGAATTAATTAGGTATTTAACACACACTCAAGAACCGTTAGTCCAGGCTCTGTTAAAATACGTCTAAGAGAAGGAATTAACAAACTCTTAACATGAAAAAAGGTCTTCATTGTATGTTCTACTGTCGCATATGAGAGACAGATCAGCTAAATTAAGATTCTAACAGAATTAACCTTAAAATGTTCCTTTTTCTTATATGTTTTTTTTTTATTCAGTCCATGACATGAAATATTGTCATAATTTTATTTTCTTAACCGTTTTATAGATACGCCTGTAACATTACTTGATCCATTAAAAAAATATGGGATAAGCAGTAATTTCTTGTAAACAAAATTACTACTGACATATTTCGAGGCAATGATATCAACTTATTTGCTTAACCTTTCGAAACACATCATGTGAATTAACATACTACACCCACCTACCTCCAAATATACAAGAAATATATTGGTAAGGCCGCGCCAACCTACATTTACTGAATCACGTTTTGCGGCACCTACCGTATTTTTTGTTACTATACGGGATGGACACAGCAATTCGAATGGTTATATTCGTATCTCTCAAATGCAGTATGTACAGGAATGTTCACACCTTCCTTATATTTTTTGTATTTCTATCTAGAGAAAAAATAGCAAAGAATAAAGATTTAGGAAGTCACAAATGCCTCACGATCCTAAAAGCTCACCCAAAGATGGTGCAAACTTCGAAACTAGTAGTCGATTATCTATTAATAATATTGGATAGTAAGGAGACTTAAAAAAACAGTAATTTTCTTGTGGCTTCAAGAAAATATATAAAAAAAATAGAATATTACAGTAATATAAGAATTATTCCTGTATATTTGTTTTGGGACATGAAATATAGTGAATTTACAAAAAACAAACTTTTACATTCTTAATTAAGAAGAAATAAAGACATTTATTTTATGTAATACCTTCATCGTTTTCTGTTATCCACCGCATTGATAGCAACATCAGCAGTTAGTAATCTTGCTCGTGAAATTCAATATCTTTTGTTTGACTTTGTTTGATAAGATTTTTAAAAACTTTGTAAGAACTATAATAATGGAATATGTCGTTTTTTATTAATTTTTATGAAACGTTCCTTGTTTGCTTTGTCCTTCAGAGTCTCCATAAGAGTTAGATGGGCGTTAAATCAGGTCTTCTCACAGACTATAAAATTGTCCCTTTATAAAAGAAACTTAATTCTTTAACTATTACCGATAAAGCACATGTTCTCTAAATGTCTTTTGTCTAGGAGTTATTCTGAGGCACCATTTATATAATTTTTTTTTAGTTTAGACTAGTATAACAATCTTAACTTTATCTATTTAGGGAGAATAGCAAATAAACCAAAATATTATGCAAATTATAAAAGCAAATATACGACATAGACATATCGTTGTAATTAGAAAAATAGAGGATTTCAAAAATCGATAAATGAGCGGTCAATTGAAAAAAATCAAATTTGATTTATACAGGGTGTTTATTAATTTCTTGTATAAACTTTAAAGGGTGAATCTTTGACTAATTTTAAGATAAAAAGTTCATATGAACGTGGACGCGCATAAAAAAATGTGTAGAAGTTTGTCCCATCGCAATACAATAAATAAAACACACTTGTTTTTCAAAAATTATTAAATGATAAACTTACAAAATTTCAACGTAGGTTTACGTAAAATTGAATGGAGAATAGGTATGTTTAGTCAAAAATGGCGACACAAAAAAGTTATGGTTATTTAAATCCAGGTACAACACTGTATGTGGCGCCCTCTAACATTTAAAAAAAAACTAAGTAAATATTTGAGTTTCTCATCATCAATATTCCCAGTTTCCCGAATTTCGTCAAATTGCCATGTTATTGAACAAAAATATAACCAAAATACCAAACAAAATTTTTTTTAACGCTCTGTATCTTAAGAACTAAATCGATGCGGACCCATGTTCATATGAACTTTTTATCTTAAAATTAGTCACCCTTTAAAGTTTGTACAAATGCCTCCTTAACGAGATACAAGGCGTCAAAGTTTCTGTAAAATTAAACATTGTCTGCAATAATTCCAAAATGCCTGAACATTTCTATTTCAAATTTGCTATACGTAGTTAGCACCTTAAAACCAATATTTGATGTACTGCTCAAAATTTTATGAGCAGCAGTGTCGTAGAGACGGGGTCAACGTGACACTTTTTTAAAAATATTTTCTGCGCCACTGCTAATTTTGTCAAAAGGGTACCACCATTTTTAAGAGAAACACCTTTGTAGAAAATTTGTAAATCCAATTTTATTTTCATTCATTTTAGTTTCGCTTGTGCTATTCAAAATAAAAATAAACATCGCCCGTCACTAATGCCACTGTGTACAATTGAGTTAAGTAAACTAGATTATGAGCTTCTTTTTGTCATTTTTACGCTTTAATTTTACGGAAACTTTGACGCCCTGTATCTCGTTAAGGAGGCATTTGCGACCCTATGTTTATTAAGACTTTTCGTCTTAATTTTTCATGTATTACTTACACTAGAAGTCTGTCAGCGGTTTTTTGAAATCACCCTGTATATTTCTTTAGGCAAGAAGAAAATTTTCTAGTCTCAGTCTTTATTACTTTTTTCTAGAATAAAGGCCAAAATGTTATGTGGATAGTATTTTTTTATAAATTAATTCCGAAAAAGCTGTCCATCAAATTTATGCCACTGATAACTGAAATGTAGAATTATTGGCGTGGTTTTATAAGTACTAAATTTACCGATTACTGTATCAATTTTTATAATCATTACAAATCCTTCAAATATTAAAAAAAGGGCGGTGCGTTTCCAAACAAATAAAACTTTAAAAACTTTTGTTTTTTTACCTAAAGAATATACAGTTCCTCGTAAAACACCTTTACACCAGTAATATGAGTTGATATTATCGAAATATTGTACCCATATAAAGTTATAATTTTATATTTCATAAAAAAACGTGCAATTATATAAACGCTCTGTTATAAGTGCGACGCGTATACAAGGACGATTCTAATTGAAGTCTAACGGTGTTTGTTTATTTATATATGGAGGATGGACTGTTATATAAATACATGTGGCGTAACATCAGGGAATCAACTTGAATTTTAAAAAATTCCGTTTATTTTATATTATGTTGTCGAACAGTTTCCTAAAAATAAAACAGCGCAAACAAATTCAAATGATGACACCAGACGAAACTTATTTAAATAATAGTTATGCAAAGTTACTGTTTAACTATAGTCATAAAAATATGATTACATCATCTCACAATTTTGCAGTATTGTGAATCGTGAGAGCAGAGAGAAATATTAGAATTGATTACAGGATTAACATTTTTAAACTGTTATTTAATTTTAGCTGTCGATTTTACTACCATACTATTTTACCTACACTGAGAAAACGATGACGAACTATATGCATACTATACTGAAACAATGTCATTAAAATCTCTAATTTCGATGTTTTCAAAAGTTGTTTACAAATAAGGACGTGAATCTTTTACTTTGTTTACCCTTTAAACCCATTGTCGTAATTCCTTGAAAAGTTGTTTTAAAACCCGCGTATTAATAAAAATATAACTAGGCTTAACCTTAAACACAATTATTAAGAGGATGCTCAACAATTTAGAGTTAATGACGCTAATATATCATTACGATTCCAAGGAAAAAAGCAAGGTTCTTGTTGTTACATAGCGACCGAAGACGACTCGAATTTTATTGGTCTGTTATTCTAAATACGTAAATCTGACGGGGTCCAAGGTTAACTTCGATTGGTCCGTAAAAAACGTATTGAATCATCCGCTATAACTGTTGAAAATGATCCAAGAGCTACCGTAACCGTGAAAAACTACTAAACCCGTATTATACGACTACCGCTTCGAAAAAAAAAGCGAACTAAACCGTATTTGCGTTTATGCTGCGGTGGTGCGAACAAACGGCACCATCACGACCTAAAGAGCAATTTAATAATAAAACTATCGTAAAATTAGATCTATGCATTTCTGCTCTAACTGTATAACGTAGTAAATCAAAGCAGGCGTGCATTGGCGGGATAGTATAACGTTACATAGATCATGGATTTGGTTGTGCGTGTATGAAAACACCAACAAATACGGATCATGGTCAGTCACACGCCTGAAGATTTATTGGCAATTTTCACGTTTTTTTCTCCCTTGTAATGGTTAACACTTGTTATTTGTGGTTATTTGTGGCAAAGCGTGAGCGACCAGCACGAATACTATTATTATCATCCAACGGTCTTTGATATTTGAAAGAGCGGAAAATTATGTGTACAAGGGCCAGAGCGCTAAATGTATTACGTCACAGCAGTGGTCCTACGCCTGAAGACCGCTGCTAGAACGCCAAATAATCTTAAGCTTAGGATACATTTTAAGCGCGAGTCGTTATATGTTAGATTATTCTCATTATTCTGTCTAGGCAGCCCTAGATGGCCGTCAGAGTGTTGAGACATTAACTGTGTCTTTATTTATTATTTCAAATACCTACACCCAGTGAACTAAAAACCAGGCACTAAATAAGTTCAGTGTCTTTATTCAAATTTAAAACATATCAACGTATACACGCGCTTAACGTACTTTTTGACCATAATATGTTTCTCAGTTGCTTTATGGATGATTTGGGTTCTGAAATAATGTATATATTTTTTTTTCAGACTGCCCAGTCCTTCGGAGGGATTGGATTTGGTATTAAACGAGAAGTGTTTTTCTTAAATTTAGAGGACGGATATTTTGGATGTCAAGTTAACGAATCGACGGACGTTTTGCAATTGTTCGAATTATCGAAGTTATGTGACGGGACTCCGAACTGCTTTCTAGGCTCCGATGAATTAACCAAAGAACTGAAATGTACAGGTAAGAATCACGCACGCAAAATCCCTAATATAGCCAGTTTGTCAAATTTTCGTTGTTTTACTCTCTGATTAGTTATTTTGTAAAAAGGCTGGGCGTTTTCAAACTATCGTTTAATTTTACAAAAGATTTAAAACAATTTAAGCATCTTATAAAACATATGAAAAGTTTCAGCCAAACTGTCAACTGGTGATGATTTTAAACATTTGACTATTTGGTCGCACGTTTTTCATAGAAACATGAAAAATCCCCAGCCGTCAAATAACGCGAAGTCAACGAATATTTAACAATAACGCCTAAACGTTTTATAAAACGATGGTTTTTACGTTCGAGCTACAATATATACAGGGTGGTCCCAGATTCCTAGGCGGAACATTCGACAATTTTGATTAGTGAGTTTTAATACCAATGGAAATTTCAACAAAAAGGATTTCTTACACTTACACGAGAAATGAGCCGCTTTAGAGTTCTTATTTTTTATATTAAAGTGAGCTTACAATATAGTTATGTAAATTTTCCACAAAAACAATATATGGTAATTTTTTGCTGGAAATGCAATTCTAAATGCGACGTAATATGCCAAAGGTTTAAAAAATCATTTTCATACAAATTTTTAGTACCTATCGCCCTTTGAAAATTAAAAATTTCTACACCAATGATTTTTTACACACTTGGTTGTAATTACAACTGTATTTTTTAACAAAAGATCCCATGAACTGTGTGGTTGAATAATTTTTGAGTTACATACTTTCGTCTTACTTAACTGTATTGTTTGGCGTTACTTATTTACAGTCTAGTTTTCGTTTTTTTTTTAATTCGTTATTTTGCCACCTAAGAAAAAAGCATTGTAGTATAACAACCCCGGGTTCGATCGTAAAAAACAATATAAACGTTGTGGCCAAAAGTATGTGATCGTCATAAGGAATACCTACGTTGTATACATCTATTTTTTATTGACCGGAAGACGCTGGCTACTACCTTTAAAGAGGGGAAGTATGGTTTAATTTTATAAAACAAAAGCAGAGTAAATACACCTAACTTTATTATTTACGTACAACAGTCTTCAAATTAAACATGTGACAAATAGAATGAACAACAAAAACATTAACAACCATTTAACATAAAATTGTTGAAAGAGCATGGCAGAGAAACCTACGATCGTTGCTCTAACTACCCAAATATAAATACAAAACAACCGCTAACAAAAGGCGTAAATTAGGATCCTTTGCTAATGATAATTAACGCCCGACTCATTTAATGTGTCACTAAATGTCACCTCACTCGAACTAGACATACACACTTCCAAGTAAAACTGAAGAGGGTTGGTGTTAGTTAGCCGGCAGGGCCGGAAGGTACTGAAGTCCGATACGGCAGGCAATCCAGCTATGAGTTGAGATTTCGGAAGATCTGTTTTAGCAATTCTTTTTTGTATTTAATTATTCTTTTTGCAGATTCATTCCTCACCAAAGTCAACAAGGCTCTTATATGCGTATGACATAAAGTGAGCACAAGAAGTGCTTTATTATTTGTTTTTCGAACAATGTAATCATGATAAAACAAGTTAAATGGTGAAACAAAGGAGTTGTTATTGCAAAATCTGGGAAGTCACGACAATATATACATTTTAACATATAATAAATAATGAGCAATCGTTAATAATAATTGTAACAATTTTACCTTAGAAAAATATATGCCCTTGAGCATAAAGCAATGGAGGCTAAACATACAAAGAATTATTATCATGAAACATATATAACCATCACAATTATAAGATTACATAGAACAATTAACAACAAAGTACTTAAAGAATATTACCTGCTAATTATAATACGGGTTAAAGACTTTGATTTTTCACTATTTTGCCTCACTGCTCGCCGATCGTTTTACTCCCATCTCCACACTGTTCTCACTTCAACCATCTAGGCTTCCTTCCAAAATTCCCCACCTAAGCGTTTGTTTTTGCGCTTCCTTCTACCAACTGTCAATATTACGTTTTCATTATTGTACAACACCCATGTGACGTCGAAGTTGATACGATAAGTATGGTTTTGCACAGCATAAACACGGAAAAAATCGTATACAAAATACACATCACTATAAACCGCACACTTCAAAAAGTTGTTGATGTTTCGAAAATCAATTTGTTTTCGACTCTTGAACCAATAATTTCGTAATATTTGTATTCGTCTATTTTAATACTTGCAAATCGAGAATTCCCTCGAACTTAACTGATTGTAAGTTCACTGTAATATAAATAAACAAAACTCTAAAATTACTTGTTCATCGAACAAAATCTAAGATATATTTTTTCATAAAAAAAATAAAAGGCACTGTTAGAATTTGTTGAATATTAGCGTCTCATCCCTTATATCTCCACCTATGGTTGACAGTGTAAGACATCTTAGCTGGATTGTACTATTATTTAGATAAATCAGTGGCCCAAGTTTTATCAATCTGTGTTAAACATCCTCAGACATTTAATAAGTGATATATTTTTTTAATTTAACACCCTGTATCTCGAAAATAAAGCGAACTACGACCACATTCATATGAATCTTTTTGCTTAAGACAATTATATTTGTTAGAATGCACATGTTCATTTCGGTACACTGAAAAGTTGCGTTTAAAAAAATTTTCATAATTACTTCTTAAAAGAAATTAATTCAAAATCTTTTATTACCGAAGAATTCCATTAAAATGAATATAGTGCACCGGTAAGGAATATTAATAAGCGCAGAGAAGCGCCATCTTCCCCATATTTCAATAAGACATGGGCGACCACCGCGGTAGTCGCGTATTTCTCTCCGACAGAAGCGAGGTTCCTCTTTTTTGTCGGGCCTTTCCATCCACGGGGGCAACTGTGGAACATTCCTCGGAGCGCCGTCGTTCTTGAGGCCACGCGGTGCACATTTTTGCCCTTTTTTCCCGCCTCAGCGAACCTCTTTGTTCCCGACGAGTCAAGGCGCCCTCGGCATTTTTGCAGCGGCAGCCCGATCGCACTATACAGTGCGTCCAATTAAATTTACGATGTCGTTACCCGTATTTCGAAAATTTTAAACGAATTGATCGGGCATAACGATAATTGCCTTGGAATATCTCTGTCATAGAAAAACAGGTCTAACAATGACAGATATTGACAAAAACTTTAACTCGGTAGATTACATTAAAGATAATACACCTACAAACAAGACTGACGTAACTGTTGTATTTGTCAATCCTACGTAATGAAATCAGCGTATTTTTTCTACCTCCACCACGCGCATCAGCATTTTACGAGGCCGAACAAAATTAAGTTTACTAACAAAAATGGGGTCAATCATTGCAGACAATTTTTTTATATTGAAGTAAAAGTATTAAACAACAAGGTGTGTAAATTTGAGACCTTAAAGTTAATAAAAGAGCACGTAGCAAATTTTTGAAACAATTTTTCTCGACTCCTATTGGTCGTAGAACATTTTTTTTAAATTCGTGAAAATATGTCAGCTTTCAAATGGCAATAATATCAATCCCGTTAAATTTCAACGATAAGAAAAAGACATTTTTCGACCCAAAAAAGAAGTCAAAGTTTCGGTAGATTTTTCGCATATTTTCAATTATTTTGCAATATGAGCACAATTTGTGCAGGAAAGTACAACTCTCAGAGAAAATTTTAAGCTCAAGTTGGGTCACGTAAGTGTATTACTATATGAATTATTGAAACTTGAAAAAAATGTATTTTTTCGAAAAACTCAATTTTTGCAAAAACTATCAAGTATTTTGCAATTTTATAAAAATGCACTCATTCTACAGCAAGAGCTGTCGCATATCGTTTGACATAATTTTTCATTTGTCTGTTTTCATAGGACACAGCCTGCCTCGTTATGGAAACTATAATCTTTATAAATACTCAGATATTTGGAATTAATAAAAAAATGACAAATTGTACATTTATATTTTAAAAAAATTCAAAATAAAGCAAATACTTTTTAAGGATAAGCTTGGTACAGTTTTACAATTTAATTTTGACAATAAAAAAAGATATCGGCCTCCGGTTTGTGTATTTGTTTTCCTTAATAAATGGTCCATCAAGCCATAGAAAAAATCTAAATCGTTGCATTTAATTTTTTTGGTAAACGGAGACAATTACAAAACTTTTCTAATTAGCATCGTCTACCGTTGCGCAGAAAAATAATATTTTTATTCACATATCATGAATATAAATTTTATTAATAGTTCTTTAAAATGAGCCCTCATTTATTGAAATCGATTAAGGCATTTAGAAGTTATGACAATTTAAATATTTCAAGATGGCGTCCTTCATACTGGCGTTGCTATGGTAATGACAAAAAAAAGTTCAAACAAAACTTGTAAAGGGTTTAACTCTGTATCTAAAAAGTGTATTTTCAACTTGGCTTATATTTTATATACAGGGTGATTCAGAACTTCTCCAAAAAAAATTCAGGATGTACAGGGGACCCTTACAAATACAATTTTGTAAAGAAAAAATCAAAAATGTCAGTTCGAAATTGATTTAAAAATACACTTCTGCACGGCACTGGAAACTGGTCCACTGTAAAACCTGACCTCGCTCAATGCGACCGGTATGGCGGCGTGATAAAAACGGACAAAAACTTTTGCAAGGAAAGAAATATGTAAATAGAATTTTATCGCACCTATTTTATATCGGCCAATTCAAATGCTTTTGCCTTTATTAATTATTAATAAAATTAATTTGTGTTTTTAAATAATAAAATCATTTGACATACCCGATGCTGCAACAGCAATTGTTCAAAATTTTATCCACTCACGTGTAAACACATTTGGGTCCGTCTTACTCACTTTCTACGAACTAACACAAATGATGTCTTGCTTCACCATAACACAAATACTTCACCATAATACAAATGTTGCCTTACTTCACCATAAATTAAAATGATATCCATCAACTCTGAGTTGCTATACACGCAAACCATTTTTGACACTAACTACTAAAAAACTGATGTAAATACCACAGATAACAGGTA